AACAAAGAAATGTAAACAAACGGCTGATGTCAAAATCGTTAAACTTTTTTCCTAAATGCGATTCTAACGGGCTACTCTCCTGCCCGCGTGATGTAGTGTTTTTGGTTCATGTATATCAGCTGATTTCTAAATTCCGGGAAGGAAATGTGGGCACACTTATGTGAGAGCAACATTTTTTACTCTGGAATAAACTATTTGGATATATATGAGAGATTGACTTTTCTTACTCTCTACTTACCGGAACAGACCCGGTAAGTGTGTGAAACAGAGCTACAGTGAAATTCTTTCGCACAGATGTCGCTCTGGCGCTATAGTCCGATGCACTAAATTTTTAAACCACAAGCATTGGATGCAAATCCAAGCAGTGTCGTGGAATAAACTAAAATAAAGTGGTTTTAGTTATATGAAATGTAAATAAAAAATATACACCAAAATATTAAAAGCAACAACAAACGACTTGAGGATGGCATTTTTGTGCCCTGTGCGCATGCGGCGCGATAAAAAGAAAGGTAACGTCTAATGACTACACCTCGATACTTATGTATATCTGAAACTATGAGAAACAATATATACATATATCTATTTGCGAATAAAACTAAGTAATATTCTTCAGGCTTATATTTTCGATAAAAGATTGACAGAAACATGGTCCATGCATGTGATTTTACAATTTGTGCCCAAACCAAAATATATACATATATATATGTTCTTGTGTATGTAAAGAAAACAAAAGACTGAAGACACATACTCGCTTTGCTTTTGTGTCTAACTAAATTAAATTGGGTATTTTTCATACATATTTTGTCTTTATTTCCTTTTCAGCCACCAGTGCTAATATCGAACGCGATTTGCCTATACCTGGTGTTGGTCTTGGTCGAATTACCGGTTCTTCCAGCATAGAAACACTCGTTCGCGTTGGCATCGAAAAGGAGCACGGTCTGAGTCCAGACTCAAAAATGGTGATTTTGCATGATTTTACCCCCTGTGTCGATGACGAACTCGAAGTCAAGCGCGGACAAATTGTGAATATTCTATATCGTGAAAATGATTGGGTCTATGTTATTGGTCAGGATACACGACAGGAAGGATTCATACCATATTCGTATTGTGCACAATACAACACACAGTTGGCGGATTTGGCAATCAAGAAAAAGTTACCGCGCGATCAGAATGTCAACGTGCATGAGCATAATCAAGAGAATATGCCACTTTTAAGTGCAGAGAGTAAAATAGATTTAATTGACGATGTGGTTGCAGCTGGCAATGGAAGCAATGGTGGTGGCTCTGCCACTAATGCAGCACCTATTGGAGCTTCATTAAAAAATTCCGAAATAAGTCTGATATTGGAACCAGAGTGTACTCCATTTCACAAAGATCCCAGTGGCCGCTATATTGTTTTATATACATTTATAGCACGTGACGAAAATGATTTATCTGTTGAGCGTGGTGAGTTCGTGACGGTCTTGAATCGTGAGGATCCTGATTGGTTTTGGATTGTTCGTAGCGATGGTCAAGAGGGTTTTATACCATCGGCTTTTGTTTTCCCGGCAGAAAGCGTGCTCCAAACACAACAGAAATTGTTGAATGCATGCGGCACAACGCAGGACACAGGTATTGGTGTGGTAGGTGGAGGAGCTGCCAGTAATGGGGTACATAAATCACAAACAAAATTGAATTTGGAGCTTACCGCTGCTAATTTGAATAGTAATTTAAATTCATTGAGTCAAACTATAGCAACAACAGCTACTCAACTGGATGTGACATGCATAACCAGCTTACAGCAACAACAGCAAAGCGCCGCACAGCATCAACAACAACAACAGCAAATTGGAGGTATTGGTGCAGATGATCTACGCTATCACGGCACTGAGCTGGTCATGTTATACGATTATAAGGTAAGCATTTGAAAAATTAGTATAAATTTGACTAAAGAAACATTTTAATACTAAGCTCTTTGTAGGCTCAAGCGCCAGATGACTTGAATGTGCGTAGAGGAGACTGGATTTATGCAGATTTGAATAATCAAACGGTAGACGGCTGGCTGTGGGCATATGCGCCAAAAACGCGCAAATATGGTTTCATACCGAAGGCATATGCACGGCCGCCAGCTATGACCAGCCTTTAAGTGTCGGAGTTTCTTTTAATTAAATATATTTTTGTTGTCTTCCGAAATAAAATTGTGTGCACTGCTAAACGCATTAATACAAAGCATGCTTTTTGCCATGGTTGTTGCAACAGCTAAACGTGCCGACAATGTAGATGTGACCATCATGGGAACATGCGCTTGGGACTACACCAATGCTCACACAGCGACTTGCCCGCAATATATGCCTTAAAATGCGTATTACGTATGTAGCTTACGAAAAGTTGTTTTTAATTTTGATATACATATTTATTTTTTTATGAATGTATTTGTTTGCATAAATGTTCTTAAGGAAAAAAAGTTTACTTAAATGAATGCATCATTATTGCTTTTAACATTTTTCTATACAATAGCAAAATTACGCTAATAAATTAGGTTGTAATATACAAATACTAATGGAAACTATGGAAATACATTATACTTGAAAAGAATACAACCCCCTTTGCTGCCATCTTAAACCACCTTTAAGGATATCAATTTTAAAACTAAAGCACTTAACGGTTTACAACAGAAAGAAAGTAATTTATACAATTAAAATATCATACAGTTCGAGAACGTTAGAAAATTCAATTTTCTGGAACAGAATTTTACTGAGATGTTATATTATTTTTCACATTTTTGTTTAACATTCGCCTACGTTAATCAGTTTAACAAAAACAATCTCCAACTTTGTCGAAGTTTTATTTTGCTCTTATTGCAGCAGAATATCTTCTTTTCGATTGCATTTCGTTATTACCGCGTGCTAAGCTTAGCATAACACACGGAACCATATCATCAGCATTATTATGATAACAATTAAAATTAAATCTCTTAATTTTTGCTATTTTGTTGTGCATTTTACCACCTTTAAATAGCACCCGGATTTGCAACACTACAGCGTTGACAATTACTGGTAGCGTTTCTTAAAAAAAGAAATATAGAAAATACAATCAAATTGATAACATTTTTACAATATGGTTGATGATATTCATATACATGCATACATATATGTAAGTATGTATATTTGTTTTTAGCATTGACTTACTTGAGTGTCTCTTTTTCCACAATTTCATCACGTAACTTTTGTTGTAAATTTAATATCAATTCGTTTTTACTATTTACTTGCGCTTTCAGATGAGCTATTGTTTCTTCTTGTGCTTCGAAAATTGCCTGCAATCAAAATTATATTTTAAAATAAGAAGCTATTTAAATCATTTGTATCCATCCTACTCTACACTCCTCCATAGATTCAGAATATGAAGGCGGTTCATCCAAACAAAAGAACTCGCGCACCAGCTTACATTTCCTTAACTCCTCTTTGGCCATAATGGAGTTAACAAATATTTGCAGCCCTTGTACCCTGTTATCCAGGAAGACAGCATTGAAATTATCACCAAATATTTTCTTGCGCGGCAGCAGTAGCACAATGTTTGGGAAAAGTTGTTTAAGTTTCGTATTCAAGCGCACAAAATCTGTATAACGGCGCAACACTAGCCAGCATTCGTTGGTCAATGGATTCTCCACCCGTAGCTTGTACACTGTAAAACGTGCTCGCTCCTCCATTACCTCATATCCGATTATAGGCACACGCATCACAGAGTTAGGTTCGTTTGCGGCTGGATTATTGGATGATAGCGTCAAAACGCTACTGGACATAGCACTGGTGCGTTGTGAATAACTTGAGTTTATGCTGCATTCGCTCAAACGCCGACGGGCTGATGAAACTGTGACGTCATACGTACTACTATTGCCGGCATAAGTTGATTGTGTGAGGTCACGGTGTGAACGTGCGCCGGACATCATATTACCGGTGGAGGTGAGACTCTTCCTAGTTAGTTGTGACACGGCTATAGGCTCTGAAACTGGTGATCGTCGTTCAGCTGAAGCTTCCAAGCGTGGATAACTTGATGTAGAGATTTGTGTCGTTTGACTTTCTTCTTGATAGCTGTGCGATGATATTGACTGCAAGCACACCTCCGACTTAGCACCAATTAAACCACGTCCAGCGGTGTCTGCCGCGTTGCCTGTACAACTTTTTAGCAAAGCACGCAAATCGCCATCGGATTTGGTGCGCACCACATGCGCGAGGCTCTCAACCGTATCGTCGTCGTTTGATGGGCGACGTAGTTCCGGGCTGGAATATATAGCGCGGCCAAGTAGCGTGCGTTGATTTTGCAAGTTGCGAAATCTACGTAAACTGTCTGGTTGTTTCAAAATGGCAATATTGTTAGCATTCGATGTATTATCACTGTTGTATCCACTTGCTGTCGAGGAGTGTGGCTTGCGTTGAATTGCCGATGTGTAGGCTTTTCTAAAGAGCGGCTGGCGCACGACAG